AATAAAGTTGTTGATTGATTGATTGATTGATTGATTGATTGATTGGACAAGGTTCAACACTGGCTGAACAACATTTGCTTACAGTTAAATGTAAAAAAAAACAGTATGCATGATTTTCAGTAAACGACCAGTCAAAATAGAAGGATCCAACGTGTTTTTAAACGGAGCAGAATTAGAACTAGTCCCCCACTTCAAGTATCTTGGAGTCGTACTGGACTCGAACTTGACTTTTAAGAAACATATTAAGAAAGTATCCACTACCATTCAATTCAACTTCCATCCATCCATCTTCTCCCGCTTATCCGTGGTCGGGTCGTCCTGGTTCCACGACCAGGACGGAATCCGCATTGTTCCTCCTCAATCTGAGGTTCGACAATCGGCCTGACCCTCCTTTCGAGTACCTTAGAGTAAACTTTCCCGGGGAGGCTGAGTAGTGTGATGCCTCTGTAATTGGCACACACCCTCTGATCCCCCTTTTTAAAAAGGGGAACCACCACCCCGGTCTGCCACTCCTTCGGTACTGTTTCCGACTTCCACGCAACGTTGATGAGACGTGTCAACCATGACAGTCCCTCAACACCCAGAGCCTTCAGCATTTCCGGGCGGATCTCATCCACCCCCGGGGCTTTGCCACTGTGGAGTTGTTTGACGACCTCAGTGACCTCCCCCCGGGAGATTGGTGTTGATCCCCCGTCATACTCCAGCTCTGCCTCTAACATAGAGGGCGGAGTTGTCGGGTTCAGGAGTTCCTCAAAGTGTTCCTTCCAACGCCCTAACACTCCATCAGTTGAGGTCAACAACGTCCCATCCTTACTGTACACAGCTTGGATGGTTCCCTGCTTCCCCCTCCTGAGGTGTCGGACAGTTTTCCAGAACAACTTTGGTGCCCGCCCGAAAGTCCTTCTCCATGTCTTCTCCGAACTTCTCCCACACCCGCTGCTTTGCCTCGGCCACGGATGAGGCTGCTGCCCTTCGGGCCTGTCGGTACCTTGCAACTGCCTCGGGAGTCCCCCGGGATAACAAATCCCTGAAGGCCTCCTTCTTCAGTCGGACGGCTTCCCTGACCACCGGTGTCCACCAGGAGGTTCGAGGGTTACCGCCCCTTGAGGCACCTAGGACCTTGAGACCACAGCTCCCCGCCGCGGCTTCGGCAATAGAGGCTTTGAACACCGACCACTCTGGTTCAATGTCCCCAACCTCCACAGGAATGCCCAAAAAGCTCCGCCGGAAGTGTGAGTTGAAGGCCTCCTGAACTTGGGCCTCCTCCAGACGTTCCCAGTTCACCCGAACTACACGTTTGGGCTTACCAGGTCTATCCAGAGGCTTCCCCCGCCACTCGACCCAACTCACCACCAGATGGTGATCAGTTGACAACTCCGCCCCTCTCTTTACCCGAGTGTCCAAAACATACGGCCTCAGGTCCGATGATACGATAACTAAATCGATCATGGACCTTCTGCCTAGGGTGCTCTGGTACCACGTACACTTATGAGCATCCTTATGTTCGAACATGGTGTTTGTTATGGCCAATCCATGACTAGCACAGAAGTCCAGTAACAAAGCACCACTCCGGTTCAGATCAGGGGGGCCGTTCCTCCCAATCACGCCCCTCCAAGTGTCTCCATCATTGCCCACATGTGCGTTGAAGTCTCCCAGCAAGATTAAAGAGTCCCCTTCAGGAGCCCCATACAGGACTCTTTCCAGGGTCTCCAAGAAGGCCGTATACTCTGAACTGCTGTTGGGTGCATAAGCACACACAACAGTCAGAGTTTTCCCCCCCATAACCCGCAGGCGTAGGGAGGCGACCCTCTCGTCCACTGGGGTAAACTCCAACAACGAAGCACCTAACCGGGGACTTGTGAGTATCCCCACACCCGCCCGGCGCCTCACACCTTGAGCAACTCCGGAGAAGAATAGAGAGTCCAACCCCTATCCAGAAGTAAGGTTCCAGAGCCGACGCTGTTCGTAGAGGTGAGCCCAACCAGATCCAACTGGTAACGCTCCACCTCCCGCACAAGCTCCGGCTCCTTCCCCCCCAGAGAGGTGACGTTCCACATCCCCAAAGCCAGCTTCTGTCGCCCGGGTCTGGTCCGTCGAGACCCTCCGCTTTCACTGCCACCCTTCTGGCAGCGCACCCGACCCCATCGATGTTTCCCGTAGGTGGTGGGCCCGCGGGACGGAGAAGCGGAGGTGTTGCCCACGTTGCCTTTTCGGGCTGGGCCCGGCCGGGCTCCGTGGCAAGCCCGGCCACCAGACGCTCGCCGACGAGTCCTCCTTCTGGGCCTGGCTCCAGAAGGGGACCCCGGGCTTCCTCCGGGCCGGGTATCCTCACTTCTTGTGTCGTCTTTCATGAGGTCTTTTGAACCAATCTTAGTCTGGCCCCTTGCCTGAGACCAATTTGCCATGGGAGACCCTACCAGGAACACAAGGTTCCAGACAACACAGCCCCCAGGTTCATCAGGGCACACAAACCTCTCTACCACGGTAAGGTGCTGGTTCCCCAGAGAGGGGAATTCAACTTGCAAAATGTTAAACAAATTAGACCTTTCTTAACTGTCAATGCTGCAAAGTCATACCTCCACTCACTGTATGATTCTATCCCACATTGAATACTGTTTTACAATAGAACAGCTGTACAAGAGAGCTATCAAGGTATTTGACAGAAAGCCAAATTCATACCACCACTGTACCATCCTTGATAAACACAATTTCTTGAGTTTTGACAATTTTAAGTCTTTTAAAAGTATGTGCATTTTTTATAAATGTTTACATGGACTGGCCCCCCCCCTCCCTTAGGGGAATTCATCCACAAAAAACACACTGGACGCTGCACTAGGTCAGAAACCAGAGGAGACTGAGAAGTCCAACATAGACGGACCACTTTTGGACAAAATGTCCTTTGCATTAAAGGCAGCTCATTGTGGAATAGCCTCCCAACTGAGATACGGGATTGTCCCACTGTCACTAGTTTTAAAGGTCAACTAAAAGAATGGTTGAGAAACAAACAGATGTGCAATCACCGCACTTTATATGTCGTATCTGCTATATTTTACTGCCATGTGTTTAATGCTTGTATATGCTGCTCATGCTCTTTCTGCATATCATGTATTTATTTTTGCTATGTACTGTATATAAATCTCATGTTCTTAAATGTTGTATGTGACGGACTACGGATGGAATTTAGCTCAGAGCTAAAAATCCGGCATATTTACATTTGAAGCATTATTTGTTTAAAGTGTTCATCAATGTGCATTGTCCCTGTTCAAATAAACGATTAAATGAAATGAAAATGAATTGAGTACAACAAAATGCATTTGCATCCAACTAGAGAAGGTGCAAAGATTTAAGTGCATATGGTTACAATAAATTATACAACAACAATGTTGTAGTAATGTACATAAAACTATAGATATTAATACATATTTTTGCATATCTAGAAGCATTTACATATAAGGTTTAGGCATATCAAAGTTAAATACAGTTGTAATGAACATCAAATATAGATGTTGTAAATTGTAAATTTGTATCACAAGGAGTGAAATGTCCCCGAGTGTGAGGCGCTGTGGGTTGGAGCCCCATGACATTCAAAGGGGAATGTGGTGGTGTGTTTGTACTGTAGTTCGAGGATCATGGCGGGGAGGGAGAGTGGGCTAGGTCTGAGTTTGATAGTTCAGCAGGGTTATGGTGTTGTGGAAAAGGCTGTTCCTGAGCCTGCTGTTGCAGAATCCACGGCCAGGAATGACATTGGCTCAACCTATACTATTTCGTAACAAACTAACAAAGGTATTCCTTACGGCAGTGGTTCCCAACCTGGGGGGCGCGCGCCAAAGATCGCAGGGGGTGCGCCAGGCCTCAGATGATTTGAGGCCAAATATCATATTTAGACTTTTTTTTGTACTTTTTCTTTTTTTTTACATATTATTGTAACGCAATACATGATTGTCGCTAAAAGTCTTGTCTCTACATTACAATCAAATATAAAAAATTATTGATTAATTAATTTTAATAAAAATTCAAGTTAGTAGTTATGATATATCCTTTATTTAACCAGGTAAAAGACTCATTGAGATTAAAATCTCTTTTCCAAGAGTGACCTGGCCAAGAGGGGCAGCATGTACGAAGTTATTATAGGCATAAAAAGACAGCATTTTTTTTTTTTCCTTTAATAGAAATGTTTCTTCTGCCCGTAAAGTGTCCAAACCAGGAAACTTTAATTACCGCTGTTGTGCCCCCCTAACCCCCACCCCTTGTGTGTGTGTGTGTGTGTGGGGGGGGGGGAGCAACCTCCAACAGGAGTCATTTGGGGGGGCTCTTGGGAAAAAAGGTTGGGAACCCCTGCCTTATGGCAAATAATACAGCTGTACCCCTCCAAGTCAGGAAACTTCATTTTTGTGCTGAAACTGATTAATTTATTATTCAATCAAAACCACACAATTCCCAATAATTGAAATGTATTGGATTCAGTCTTTTCTATTTGAGTTTCAAGCTACTACAATGTGAGGATTTGCTGTTTGTCTGTATCGCTTTAAAATGAATATATTGTGGTTTTGGAATATTTTTGGACACACCATTTAGGGAATTATCCTTCTCTATGTGGACATAATTAGCAGTTTTATGACATTTTATAGTAGACTATTGATGATTTGATTAAATCAAATTATTTACAAGCATTAATAAAATAAATACAATTATAAGTTTCAGCCCCTCTAAGAATACAATCCACATCGGACTCTCTTTATTCAGTTAAGGATCAAGTTATTTGAAAAGTGTTGATCATTCCTCATCATAATCAACCTTTTTCTTCACTATTATCTTAACCAGTATCTTGCCCACTGATTTAGGCAGAAACATTATTTTATATTCAGCTCTGTCATTTAAATAGTCTGAAATCAAAAGTGTAAAGGATATGGCATAACTTGCCTATAGAACAAAATGAAATGTTTACATTACAACTCAAACCCATTTTCCTTTCAAAAATAAATTACAAAATACAAGGGGGGGGGGGGGGGGGGTAATCCTGGTTTATTAGATCGCAAATTCAATAAATATAGCACCATTTAAGAGTAGAAGCATTTAAAGAAACAAACAGTTTAAAAGGAAGATGCTCTCAGCTTGGGAATTACATTACCTGCTTATCATTTTTATAATAACTCTAGTTCACTTGGTTGCTATAGTTCAATAAAACAAAATTACCTTTTAGGTTTCTAAGACTTGTATGATCCATGAAGCATTCCGCTTCTAAATAAAGACAATACAGACATGCAGCGAGATAATATAAAACATCCACATACAGACAGCTTCAAAGTGACATATTGCACTAAATAAAAATGCAAGTACAGACTTCTGCTGGAAGGAAAGTGGTTTTTAGGGTCATGTAATACTCTGGCCTTATAGTGACTCTTCTATGATGATTAATATATCTTAATTTAAAAAATACATGAATATAATATGCAAAGATATGGCATAAGACGGACAATTAGTATGTTTGTTGTGGTTTAGAAAACAACTCAAGCTTTTGAATTCTAAATGTTGTCTAATTTAAAACTTGAAAGAAAATAGCTTAAACCCATTAAAAGCCAGTAGATTCTGTCGTTGTGCTCTAAAAGTGACCAGAGGGAGGCGCTTTATTCCTGGAAAGGTTTACACAGAAAAGTCAAGTGACAAAAACTAAGGATCCCCTCACAGAAACCTCACGAAGGTAGCAGGGCACTTGTGTTGAATGTGATTATAATGTACTGCAAGTTATAACGTCCTCCCCCTGTGTTTGATCTTCAGCTACAAAAACATGTTTTACTTGTGGTAGCTTAACCAACATCTTGATTTATACGCAAAATTCATTTTCAGAATCCAGTTTTTATCCTGTTTTATCTATCAGATTAGTTTTCAACTTCTTCCTAATTTGGACACTAGGATAATGCTAGTTCTCTCTTGAGCGCATTGTTTTCATTCCAAACTATTTTCTGAAGTTTCCGAACTGAACGCCTCTCCGTCCGCTCACACAGCGGAAGGTGGCCGGCTGGATGTCCCAGTATTTCACAGGGTTGGCAAACAGACTGATGCCTGTGTACAAGTTCTTCTTGAAACTGGGCTCCATGGGACAGAAGTCGTTGACTCCCACACTGTTGATGTTGTTGCCGTGGAGGTAAATCATCTAAACAGACAGAGATTAAACAGTTGTTTTTGTGCAGTAAACCACCATGAGTTATGTTCCCTGAACTCAAGATCACAATGTATTGACCAGGAAAGAAAGTCTGAGTCAGAAAGTTCTTATTTTCATCGTTCAAGGTTGCTGAGTTGAAGGAAACTGCTATTGTAGTACAAAGGAAACTGACCTGATCTAACTATGGATTTATGTTCCAAAATAAATTTACTATGTGGGATGTCTGGGCTTGGTAATATGCTCCTTCACAGTGAGACAAGGATTAATTACGAGAAGTTACTTGACCTGCATGCCACCCTGTGGATTTTTTTTTATCTCATATATTAGAAATTTAGGATTATTTTTGAATGAGCTGGAGGACATGGCCTTTGAGTACGAAGTCTTGGCAACATACCTGCTTTGCCTTCAGATGCTGCTACCTTTGAATTATATATTTTCCATCTCTAAGCATCCAATACAAAGATATGTCAAGATCATGTTTATCTTCTAAAGAAATGTAAAACGGAGTTCGTTTTGGAGCTATTTGTTGACCAACCATCGTGACTACATACAGCATCTCAGAAATCCTGCCCTGATAGCGGGTTTGCCAGCTTTTAGCCCTGTCCTAACTCCACAGTCAGCTAAACCTAGATGACTTCAGTTTGTGGCTCGCACTTTAGTCTACTGATACTGATCAAAGTGTCTGTATCTCACCTGGAGGTAGCGCATGGAGCCAAGGTTCGGTGGGACCTTTTTCAGACGGTTGTGGTCCAGGTGGATCTGACGGATGCTCGGGATGCTGGCAAAGCTGCCGTTTTCTACAGACTTGATCTGGTTAAAGCCCAGTCCTAGCCTGCAGAAATGTCAAAAGATAGTTGAAAGGTACAATTCATTATCACCCCTTGTTAATAGAAATCCTCGACTCTCCAGAAATGAAGTGATGAAAAAAAGTTAGTTTCCGGCATAATGTGAGGCTTGTTTTTTTTTTTTTTTACCTCTGCAGGTTTTTGTATCGTTTGAAGTCTTCTATTTCCACCTTAGTGATCTTGTTGTAGTCTAGGCTCAGCTCTGTGATGGAAGAAGGGAGGTCTGGGAGAAAATCAAACATAACCAATATAAAGAGCAGAACAAGACAAGCATACTGTATACTCAATTAATTACTTATTTTTTAAACGTATTAAAATAAAGCAACAGTCTTAAGCAGTGTTTAAGCCTAATTGAGGTGTACTCTGTGTATAATACTGTAAGTGAGATGAGTGATATTCTACCTTTTGGTACGGTGGTTAGTTTGGCCTCTGCAATACCGATGTACAGGGTGGACAAGTCGTTAAAAGCTCCAAACTCAATCCCAGCGTTGGCCAGAGGGTTGGCGCCCAGCTCTGTTGGAAAAAACAAAGAGAAGATGTGATGCCCCTGTGGGTTCATCATTAGAGAGGGTGTGGCTGTTCTGTCTGTGCTGTATTGATTGCATTGATTGCAGTAACTCAGGGCACCTACTGTAGGTCTGGTGCCCTGCAGCTATTTAAAGCCTCTCTACTCCTTTCTGTTCCCTCTCTGTTTTTCCCTGCAGGCACCCGAATCTGTTGAGTATAACAAATTGGTTCTAATTGTTCTAAATAAACATCTTTTGATAACCGTTGACATGGTGTGTCTCCTCTTTGTTGTGGCCTTTTGAGCCAGGTCATAACAAATGGGGGCTCGTCCTACGGGTTATTTGGTTAAAAGTTTGTGTAGTGCTCAGAGCACATGGTGTCATTGAGCAGCTGATTAGTTGATGTGGTCCAGCTGTGTGCTGGCTTGGCGCTGCTATTGGTGGTGCCGAGTAGCTTTCGTGATGTGGTATTGCAAACTGTGCATGATAGTGGTGGACATTTGGGGATAAAAAAAACCTATGACCGTGTCCTACGCTATTTTTTCTGGCCTCAGTTAAAGCGCGATGTTGCAAGTTATATTAAAGCATGCCACATATGCCAATTCACTGGTAAACCAAGTCAGGTGGTGAAGCCTATGCCCCTCAGTCCCATTCCAGCCCTTGGCCAACATTTTGAGCATTTTATCATAGATTGTGTGGGGCCGTTGCCTCCATCTAAGTCTAGTTGTGCGCACATGCTTACTATAATGTGCCAGACTACAAGGGTATCCTGCAGCGTTTCCCTTGCGCTCCATTTCAGTGAAGCCAGTAGTTAGGGCTCTAACCCAGTTCATCTCCACATTTGGGATCCCACGTGTGATTCAAAGCGACCAGGGTACCAACTATACTTCCCATATGTTCAAATGGATCCTGCAGCAGCTGGGAGTGAGGCATAACCGTGTGTCGGCCTACCATGCCCAAAGCCAGGAGCGGTTTCATCAAACATTGAAGTCCATGCTGCGTGCTTATTGTATGGGGAAGGACTGGGAGGAGGGACTTCCATGGCTCATGTTGGCATCCAGGGAAGTCGTTCAGGAAAGTACAGGGTTCAGCCCTAATGATTTGGTTTTTGGGCATACGGTGCGTGGTCCGTTAGCTGTTCTCCAGGATGAGAGTGAGCCACCTAAGAATTTAGTGGACTATGTACAGGGCTTTCGTCATCGCCTGTATGTAGCGGTGGAAATGGCAAGGAAAAATGTAGCTGGTGCTCAGGCTAATATGAAGAGACTCTATGACCGTAAAGCAGAATATCATGAATTCAGCCCAGGGGATCAGGTGTTGGCTGTAATGCCACTGCAGGTCTCACCATTCAAAGCTAAGTTTGCCGGCCCGTACACTGTTGAAATTAAAGTGTCAGATCAAAACTACTTGATTGCTACTCAAATCGGAGGAAGTTGTCTCAACTGTGTCATGTCAACCTTCTTAAACCATACTATGCTCGTGATACCGTTGGGGATAGCTTCATGGCTAAAAAGTTGATTGTTGGCCTCATAATGATGGTTGATTCTGTGCTTTCAGCTCCAGGGTTGGCTGAGGAGTGTGATGTTAAGGCGGCAGATGAACCTGTTATGTGTGGTAGGCTGAGGAATTCGGAGTCGTTATGCCAGTTGGACCTCTTGTTGAGTCACTTACCTGCAGCACAGAGAGACGAGTTGGCGGCCTTAATCGGGAAGTTTGTGGTACTGTTCGGCGATACGCCGTCGCGCACAACTCTCGTGGAGCATGATATCGACGTGGGGGACAGTCCTCCAATCAAGCAGCAATGTTATCGTTGCCCTGCAGATAAGCGTAGGGTACTGGAGGCTGAGGTCCAGTACATGTTAGACAATCAGATTGCAGTACAGTCGTTCTCCAGTTGGGCGTCGCCTAGCCTACTGGTTGGCAAATCAGATGGGTCTCCGCGGTTTTGTAACGACTATCGTAAGGTTAATAAGGTGACAAAAACAGATTCTTACCCGTTACCACGGATGGAGGATTGTATTGACTTGGTGGGCTCTGCTAGACTCGTCAATACATTTGACTTGTTAAAGGGGTACTGGCAAGTTCCTTTGACAGCGCGTGCGCAAAAGATTTCAGTGTTTGTTACACCTTTCGGTCTGTATGAGTATACAGTGATGAGTTTTGGGCTTTGTAATGCGCCAGCGACATTTCAGCGCCTCATGAACATAGTGGTAGCAGGTCTTGAGGGGGTTGCTGTTTATCTTGACGACGTAGTTGTGTTTAGTGACACATGGGATGACCACATCCAACGCATTGGTGCTCTGTTCTGTTGCCTGGCTGAGGCGCATCTCACTGATAACCTGGCCAAGTGTGAGTTCGCTAGGGCGACAGTGACGTACCTTGGACGGGGGGTCGGACAGGGGCAAGTTCGTCCGGTAGACGCGAAGGTGCGGGCCGTTTTGCAGTTTCCTGTGCCCACTACTAAGAAGGAACTCATGCGGTTCCTAGGTCTGGTCGGGTACTATCGCGCCTTTTGTAAGAACTTTTCCACAGTGGTTGCTTGCCTGACTGATTTGCTGAAGGGTACAGTCAAGTTTGTTTGGTCTGACCAGTGTCAGGTGGCGTTTGAGAATGTGAGGACCCTGTTGTGCTGTGCTCCGGTTTTCGCTGCGCCGCGCCTGGATAAGCCGTTCAAACTGGAGGTTGATGCTAGTCTTGTTGGGGCGGGTGAAGGGGATTGATAGGTCAGTTTGTTACTTATCAAAGAAGTTTAATTCGTACCAACTCAATTACTCGACAATCGAAAAGGAGGCATTGGCCTTAATATGTGCCCTCCAGCAGGTGTATGTGGGAGTAGCCCAGTTATAGTTTATACCGACCATACCTTTCTCTGTTCACTTAATTGTCCGAACCGGCGGTTGATGAGGTGGGCCCTGTTTCTGCAGTCCTATAATTTGGACATTCGACATATTTAAGGGCAAGGACAACGTTGTAGCGGATGCTCTCTCTCGTGCCCCGGTGGGGTAGGAAGTCTCTCTGGGCCTGGATATTTTGTGTTGGTTTTTCGGAGATCCCTTTGGGTCCTCCGTCTTAAGGGGGGGGGGGGCTGTGATGCCCCTGTGGGTTCATCATTAGAGAGGGTGTGGCTGTCCTGTCTGTGCTGTATTGATTGCAGTAACTCAGGGCACCTGGGTCTGGTGCCCTGCAGCTATTTAAAGCCTCTCTGCTCCTTTCTGTTCCCTCTCTGTTTTTCCCTGCAGGCACCCGGCTCTGTTGAGTACAGTATAACAAATTGGTTGATTTGAATTGTTTGTTCTAAATAAACATCTTTTGATAGCCGTTGACATGGTGTTTCTCCTCTTTGTTGTAGCCTTGTGAGCCAGGTCATAACAGAAGATCCGCTACATTTTTCAATGATCCCATATTTCTCCTGATTAAATTCAAGAAAATGCATTTTCAGGGCTTGCTAGTCCTCAATATCTCTCCAGTTTACCAATCAAAAACTTACTGTAGAAGGTTTTTCTTTTCCTAGTTGAAGCTTCATTAAATCAGATCTGTAACAACAGATGGGACCATGCAGATGAAAGGTAAAAACTAATTAATTGGGCTGCATAACCTAAAATGTTTAACTGTGCAATACTGTATTACATTGTATACTCAGAGAAAAATAATATATGGAGGGGGGGGAGGGGGTCACGTGGACGAGACCAAGATGGCAGCTTAGCTGGGAGGCTCCCGACAACCACACATAATTTAATACAAAATCCCTACCTACACGGCAAAAATATTTTAACACAATATCAGCTTTGATATGTCAAACCCTCCTCCGACCAAGGCTTGCGATATTTTCTGACACACCAAGCAGTCACCAGAGAACTCGCCGACGCCGACTGTTGCGTCGCCGTGTTCTCCTGCGTCTTGGCCATGTGTCGCACTGGAACACACCGCAAAGACTTCAGCTGAGCACGTACGAACTGCGCATGCGTGAGTGGCAATAACTCTCCTAACCAGCAGGCGGCGGTAGTGTGTATTCGTCATTCAAAAGAGGCAACAACCGGAAAACAGAGAAGAAGAACGGACTGCGTGATATAAACAAACAACAAATAGCGTGTGCGTTCCATTTTCACTCTCGTCCATCGAAAACATGTTTCGTGCGGTACTGGAGCTATCAGCCATTGGAGTGTTGCTTGTGGAAGACATTCTCAAGCAACAGTCTCTCAAGAGGCGGAAGCGATCGGAGTGATTTCTTTGGCCGACTGCCTGTGGCCGACGCATGGACGATTCAACATGTTGAATCGGCCATGCGTCAGCCATGAAAGGCCAAATAAGGCGTGTCACGGCCGACGGTGCTGGACACACCAAATTGAGTTTGGGCGACACGGCACGCTTCGTCGTCCGACTAACGAAAACGGCCGACTTCGGCCTGGTGTGTCAGGGTCTTTAAAGTTTCAGGAGAAGAAGTTTGTCTACCGTGAATCAAGACGTTGAGACATCACACATGACGGGGGCAAGATATCATTCGCGCAGGATTTATCTGCAGAAACGGTCCGGATCAGACAGGGATTTAACACCGTTACAAAGTTGACATCAACGCCTTGTATTCCAACACAACCCCTGCAAACTCACACAACGGCAAGATTAATCTCTTCACAAGGCCACAAGAAGCCGAAAAGTTCTACAAAAGCATCAAACAATAGCCTCTGGTGTGTGTTGTGTGGGAATCACACGGCCACAATGAGCTTGAGATTTTATCGGAAGATATCAGGCATTGTGAGTTGAGTTACAGTTGCAAACATTTACATTGTCTTTATATGCGTGTGTATATGGAGGTTTCTTGTATTCCTCTCTCTCTCCTTCTTAAGAGAAAGCCCATTTAAATATAATTCTGTTTGAGAGTAGACCTATATAATAAGGATGGCATTGTGTTCATATGTCTTTTGTATGTTTCATTAGACCAGCAGATATTGTTTTAATATGTTTAGATGGTATTGTGTTATGTCCTGAAGGGATATATTACTTGACAAGGTT